GCGGGGAAGTTGGACGGCCAGCGAAGCGTTTTTGGTATTAGTCCGCGAGCAAGGGTGATGCGGTTTGTCGCCTGATGACCCAAATAGGTGCGTTCTATGTGGAATTTCTAGGGGTTCGCGTCACCGGATTTTGCGAAAAACTTATCGCAACAACCTATATTTTTTTTCTGTTTTTCAGAAACAGGAAATAGTAAGCTATTTCAGCATATAAGCCGTTAGCCTGGGAAAATTCGTTTTTTCCAAGCAGGTCCGTTGAAAAAACTGCAAAAAAACTACATTTTTCGTATCCAAAATTTACGTTTAAGTACAGTTTCTACCAAAATTATAGAGTCGACGGACAATAACCAAAATTGTATCGGAAGCCGGCTGGAAACCTCCGTTGACTGATGTAATGAGATTTCCCGGCGTACTTTTCTTGGCGGAGTTATAGCCCTTCGGTCTGAGGGTGTCCGCCGGATCCAAAATCGTAAAAAAAACTCCGGTCCGAGACCTTATACTATGTAACCTATGGCAGGCGGAACTTCAACAGATACTAATTATGCAAATGATGACCTAATTTGCATAATTAATGTGAAAATTCTATGATTTCGTAATGGTGAATGATGAGAATGTCATACTTGGGACATCTGTAAGTTAATCAAAAGTTAACATACATCACGATGCATATATCATGTTAATGTAGAGGTCATTTGAACAATTAAAGAAGAAATTTACATTTACATATCAAGATCATATTTCATGGAGGTATGAGATCTCGGAATTCTAGTTAATTATGCAAATTAAGTCTTCATTTGCATAATCGATATCTGCCTGTATTTCTGCCGTTCTTAATTACATATGTCACAAGCTTGAATAGTCCTATCAGGGAATGTAGATGATTTATAGAATTTCCTCATTAATTATGCAAATTACATTAATATATGCATAATTATAATATTATTATGTTAAGCATCACCTCAGCTACCTACATGCCAAAAATCACGACGATCCATCAATCGGTTCTAGAGTTATCCGCCTTTAAATATTTTTCAACTAACGCCCCTGCAGTTCCAGAGCAAGCCGCTAGGGAGGCCAAACTCACATCACTTCTTCCCCAGCACAAGAGCTACCTACCATCCAAATTTCGTCACCCTAGCATGTCTAGATCACGAGATATCAAAACCGGAAGTTCAGCTGCAGTACCATAACAAGCCGCTAGGGGGCCCAAAATTTAATCAGTTCCACGTCTCATGAAGACCTATCCACCTACCAAATATCAAGACAATCCATTTTAGCCTTCTTGAGTTATCGTGCTGACACACACACACACAGACACACGAACGCCTACGAAAACATAACCTTCTTGGCGAAGGTAATGAAGGAAAGCAACAAGAGAAATGCAATACAATAATGGCAGGATATCAAGTGGTATCAATATGTCTACAACAACATATTATGTACGTACCTCATGTTGTTCAACACATTCCTGCACATCAGCAGAACAGCTACACTTTGCCAGGTCCTCCAACATCATGCCTTCAGTTTCCTTCAGCCAGGCCATAAACTCGTCCAGGGCCCTGCGGTACTGCTGCCAATGGCTCAGGTTTGCAGATACCTCCTCCTCCCTTGCTTTAACCTTACTGCACAGATCATCCCACTGTTTTCTGGCACTTGTCAGCTTCAGTTTGACAGTGGAGTTATGGGAGGAGTCTGAGTCCTTCAGCAGAGTTTGACCTTCATTCTCCAGAGCAGCTAAAGGTTTGGACATCTCTTGCACAGCAGCACTGACAGCCTGGGGAAAGCAGGAAAAAGTATTTTCCTTATTTGGTATACACTTTAAATAGCCAATACTCTTTGTTATAGCCTAACACATCATTAGTTTTTACTGTTACAAATTGTCTTTATTCTGTTACAACAAATACAGTCATACATGTATTAAAAAGGTACAATTTTGCCCTTCACAGTCTGTACCTTTGCCCTTTTCAGCTCATCCTCAGGTGCTCCCTGTGGCTCGGATGTTGATGTAAGCTTGCTGTCAGTGCTGTGTAACAGTGCTGTAAACTCGTCCAACTGGGAGTACAGATGTGTCCATCTCTCCCCCAGCCCTTCAGCCTGCCTGATCTTCTGCTCGATGGTGGTCTCCAGAGCATGGAAGCGTTTCTCCAGGTCCACTCTCTGTGTCTGCAGAGTTTTAGTCCCTTGCGGATTGGCAATTTCCCTCAGACTGCTGTTAGCTTCCAGTAGGTCCATGAATGAGGGCTTCACATTTGCAACACTGTCCTGGAGTTTCTAAAATGATAAGGAATGAAAACATGTCAAAAAAAAAAAGATCAATTATAGGAAAAGGATAAAGTATTACCAATGATACTGATAATGCAATCTACAAAAAATAGCTTTTCAACACACTGTATCTTAGAAAGTGAGCCAAAAAGCTTTCAACAAAAAAGGCACATCACAATTGAAACAAACCAGACCAGTACACTCAAGCTAAAGCAAATCAAGCTAACTAAAGCCAATCAAAGCCAGAGCAAAGCTTCACAGTGATTAAGCACCAATACATCACAGTACAAACACATGTAACCACCAGGACCAGCAGAAAGTGAAAACAGTTAAGGGGTTTACCATGGCACCCACTTCATCTTGCAGGGTCTGTGGAAGTTCATAAGAAGGAAAGTAAGGTCATGGACCAGCTACTTGAACTTGACTTTCAAAACTTGCAATCAAGTCCAAGCAGCTGTTTCTAAAATAGATAAGCAACAAAGTTGCTGTAGGATAATGTGAACTACAAGAAAATGAAACATAATTGCTGTAAACTTTCTCAGTTTGAGGTTTTCTGATGAAAAGGAATGACAGTCATTTACATGACGTACAAGCAGTACGAGATAAGGTTAGAATCCCTTAGTGCAATAAAACCTCTCATAATAATAAATCATATAGTTGAATGATCAATTAATGCATTCAATGTGAAAAACTAATAAAAGATACTTAAAACTTGAACACATTTATTTGATTATGTACCTTCATGGTGTGTATGTAAGCCTGGTGCTTCTGTGTGTCTGCTGGGTCCACATGACCCTTTAACAGGCTTTCACACTTCTCCAGCCACTTCAGGAAGGAGCTGACGTCAGTCTCATATTCCTTCCACTTGTCACGGAAGGAAGACAGCTCTGCAGTTCTGTCATTGGACAAGTCTTCAACCTGACACATATAGATAAGTAGAATCAACAAAGGTGGAAGCAATTGGGTAGCTATACATAATACATGGCATGCACAAAGTCATCTACATTGTACTTGCAGTCTGGATGTGGTAGATATTAAGCTGAAGGAAAGACAGACAGTAGAGTATGCCCACCTGTGTGAACCTGTTCTGGATGTCCTCCACCTCCTCCCCCAGGTGAGGCTTACTGATGATCTGCTCAGACTCAGCCACGGCTGCATCAAGGACAGACCTGTGCTCCTCAAGGTCTCTGGAGAACACCTGGGATTCAACATAAAAACCACATGATTACAAATATTGTTGTTTCTGGTGAGACAAATTAATTTTACTGCAAATGGAAAGTTTCAACCTACATAGAAAAATATGATATAAATGAGAGAGCATTGACAATTTCATGTTGCCTGTTTGAATTGGAATGGTGGATTTGGCAATGTTTTCTAGTCTTATGCAGTATGTTTTGTCATCATTTGTTAAGCACTTGATAATCATTTCCAAGGGGAAAATGCCTCCATAGTGCTTTCAATATACCCTGCAGTATACACCAGTCCTGGTAACTTACCTGCTGTTGCCTGACATGTTCCTCTGCCTGTGTGCTGGAGGCAGATTTAGGCAGCTGTTGTCTGAGTGAGCGCTCGGCTTGTTCCAGCCATGGCAACAGCTGCTGGAGATAGCCCTGATATGCCTGCCAGTGACTAACATTCTCCTTCACCTAAAATAAGACATGGAGTTGCCTTAGGACTAGGACAATTCTATATGTCATTGAGTAATTAAAAAAAAAAACACAAGAGCCACCTGAAATATTTCACTAGTACTGGTACCTACATTTAGGACGGCCATATAAACTGAATTATAAGCTATAAGAAAAAGAAATAAACAAAATTATATGTACCTTAGTGTTAAGAGCCTTTGCCCTGGTGCAAAGCATCTCCCACTGCTTGCCAGCTTCCTGCAGCTTGGTCTTGACAGCCAGTGTTTCTGCATCAGTTGCATCTGGGATCAAGTTCTGACCTTCTTTCTCAAGGGTTTCCAGGTCTTCATACTTGTCAAAGATCTCACTGCAGATGCCCTGAAATCAAAAGGAATGGTTAAGACTTCTGTGTAACATTAAGACTTTGTGCAAGACCACTTAGATGTATTATGGTTGAAATACATTCTTATTACAAAGAAATTTTCAAGTTACAAGAATTTTCATGTACACAAGACTAAAATAGTGAACTGAAAATATAACAATTAATCAACTTTCTTATTATCTTTGCTTACCTTGGCCTTGTCAAACAGCACCTCAGGGCTGTCTGTGGCATGTTCTACCTTGGCCAGTTTGGCACCTGATGTCTGAATCCAGCTGTTAAACCGGTCTAACTTGGCATAGAAGTCTTCCCACCTCACCTATTGAGTTGTCAACAAATTACAGAACTAAAATTAGCTTACACATTACACTGGTTACATAATTCAGTTACATATAAAAAAGGGGGAACAAAGACAAACAATTCATTAATTTTATCCATTCCATTTTGTTTCCTATGAAGACATGCCACCTGTAAGTTCTCCATGGCTGTGAGGTTGTCCTGCAGGTCCTGTTGCAGGGTGGCACATCTCTGCTTCAGCTCTGCTGCTTCTTTATCCCACGCAGCCTTGTCTCCAACTCCAGGCATGGCTGACATCTGAGACAACATGGACTCCAGACTGGCCAGCTGTGATGCCAGCTTCTTCTGCTGAGGTTTCAAAGACTGGAAGGATGGTGGAAACTCAGGGTAATGATATTTGTTCAAAGTCAACATCGTTAACATATAATATCTAGTCCTCAAAGGGGTGCTTGTCATATTGCGAACTGTATATATATTATGTAATCTTTTATTTGGTTGTTAACGTACCTGGAGTGACTGCACATTCTCTCCTACAGTTTGTAGCCCACCCATCTGGGAAGCCTCTTCTATGTCCTCCCTGATGTTGTCCATCTCACGTAGTGCAGCTGTCTTCTTCTGTTTGTACTCCTCGAGCAGACGGTCCTCCTGAGGCAGTGCAACAAAAACTCTTTCATATTACAGTTCTCCTGTCTTGCTATTTTGTCACCAAATTCATAAGCAGAGGAGTTTTCGCCAATGGAAGGATGCTGTTGGAAATGGTAATCAAAGAAAAACACCACCATCCCCCTGCAACAAATTTTATCAGCCTTGAAACAGAAAAGGGCTGAAAAATGATTCATTCACCATCACCAGCTTTCTTTTTCCTTGTGGGGTAGGGAATACTACAATCCACCACTGGTAAGGCAAGGATCAAAAGCATGGGACCTAAGAACTAGACAGAGCCAGCGCCCTTCACCTTCACCTTGGCAATGTAGGTACCTGTTGTCTATTGGCCTGGTTTCTACAGTTAATCATGTGCTGTACTTGGGGTGGTACTGCTGGGATATCGAAAACAAATCTTCCGTCTGGCAACCTTCTCAGCTTTCCTCCAGTGATGGACACTTTCACCTGGCGAGGTCCTAGCGGGGCTGGGGGTGGTGACGTTTCACTGGACTCCCCGCCAGGTACGCCATCACCAGACATACCCATCAGCCCCACGTCATGGGTGAACTTGACCTTCTCCTGTGCTTTTGGATCCTTTGCCTCCCAAGTGATCTTGCACAGGGCACCACCAAGACTGCTCTCCTTGGGAGGTGTGGACGGAGGTGTCTGGCATGTTTGGCTGTCTGAGTCCGTCTCAGAAACTTCATCCATTGTTGACGAGGCACGAGAAGGAGGGGAGGACGGAGGTGTTTGCAAGTGTTGGCTACTAAGTTCAATGTCACTATTCAGTGTCTCCTTCATTGCAAAGGCCTCTTGGAGTGTTCCTTCTTCACAGCCAATGTTGTTGGATAGTTCATCACTAGTCAAATGTTGCTGTGGAAGGAAAATGGCTACAGGGCTTAACAAATGTAATACATGTAACTGCAATCTTGCCTTAGAGCCCCACACTATCATCATATTGCACCAATGTATCATAACACTAACCTATCCTTTTTACCTTGAAAATTAACCTATCCTTTTATCTTGAATGCAAGGGAATGATGCAAACACATGGTTGGCATTTTGATAACTAAGTCATCTCACATGTGAATAATAACTGTTACAGTATTTCACATGATGTAGGAATGTCTTTACCTCCTCCTGTTGCACGGCCTGCTCAGCCTCCTGGACCCTGTCCCCTGCCTCTTGAATGGACCCGTCCAGTTTATTGTACCGTTGAACAAGGTCCTGCAGCTCCTTCTGGTGAGAGGCAGCCTCAGGATCCTGGCTGCCTCCTGTCAGAGTCTTCAGGGTTGTTGTCAGCCACTGGACATCATCAGCATGGGCCTCTTTGTACTTCATCAGGGTCTGGTGGATAGAGTTACACAGTTACATTACTGCACACTTCATAGAAAAAATCGACTTTCCTCGCTGTGTATTTTATACCCTTGCTACATTTCCTAATTATGTCTTATGACAAATAGGGCAGCTGACCAGTCTTAATGTCGGGCCAGAAACTACATTAAATATTGTCAAGAATAATATATGAAAGCAGTCTATTCAAAGAACATATACTTGATGTATGCCTTAATATGCAGTGATCCTAAATACAATTGTGGGTAACACATGTACCTCCAGTTTTGCCTTGTACATTTCAAACTCCTCTTTGCTGGGAACTGTGCTGGACAGATCTCTCAGGGACTTCTCTTCACTCTCCAGCCACTGGCTGAACATTTTCAACCTAAGCAAGAGTTGAGAACATTTTAGATCTCAGTCAATAAGGTCTGATGTCATTGCTGCATTATGAAATAAGCAAAAATACAGGAGAAACTGCTACCAAGATGTGTACATTACAACATTACTGATTTTTTCATACCTTGCTGGTGGACTTCTGGGGAAAAATCATACACTAACACAGCAATCAAAGTCAACATTACACAACAACCATGGTCTACAGTGAATTTCTAACCTTTCTCTGTACTGGCTCCATTGCTGAAGTCTTTCCAGGATCTTCTTGTAGATGACCTCCACCTCAGCACGAAGTTCTCCATATCTCATCTTATACTCCGTGTAGGCATCCTCCAGGGATGTGTCATCCTTATTTATGGCCTTCATCTTCTTTGTGGCATTCTCCATCAGATATTTGCACTCTTCACAGATGCTGAAGAATCCACCCTCCTTGTGAAAGTAATTCTACAATACACAGAAACAGAAATTTTGAATGTGCTATCTTGAAATGCAGGACCAAACACACACAAAAATCTGCTTTCTTAAGGTAGGACTTCTTAAGGTGAACATTTTGTACCTTATGTCTATCCAGCAGTTTCTCAGGGTTGTGTTTTGCATTGAGCAGCTTGATCTCTTCTGCCAGTTCTGCCTCTGTCTCTGCCAGCTTCTTCTTCAGCATCGTCTCCGGCTTTTGGAACTGCAGCTTGGCCAGGCGGATGGGCGCCTTTCCTGTTACATCCTGGAAAAAGAAAAGCCAGAACTCAGCAACGTTGAGAATCAATAACTCATTATTTTGATCTTGTCTTCAGAAGTTGAGAAAAACAGAAGAGAAGAAGGTGCCCAACCTTCCAGCTGTCCTGGGTGTCCTGTATCTTCCTCTGCTGCTGTGTGCGAGTTGGCTCTGGCATCTCCTGCAGGTGTTTCTCAGCTACGGTCAGATACTCTCTTGGGATGGTCTCATCCATAGCATTGAAGAAATCCTGGGAATAATCAAAAGGATGTCCAGCATTAGCTTATTTTGATGTTGAATCTTAGTCAAAATGAAATCAAGAAAACTTAAGCCACTTCCCCACCAGAAAAATGCCCCGAATTGCCAGCATTGATACATAGACTTTGGTGATAGCCATACTACTTGGAAACCTGTTAGCCCAAAGGTGCTTGAATGTTTCTAGCATGACTAAGTTGTATTAGACATCTTCTGATCTATATACACTTGAAACACATATCACACTGAAATATGAATGCACTACAGTTGATACTTGTTTATGATAAATTGAACAAAGTTCAGTATGACTGCAAACATACCAGATGACCTGTAATGAGTTTATCTATCTGGGTTCCTTTCTGTCCTAGGACAGCCACTGCCTCCTTCAGCTTCTTGTCCACATCTGCCTGTCTCCTGCTGAAATCCCTCCAGGTCAGCAGGACACTGTTCAGTTTCTTCTCCCACTCAGATGCAATGTCCATGCAGTTCTAAAGACATGATGTAAGAAATGTCAAATGAAAGTAATTAGGAGCTAAAAACTGAATTTAATATCATGGAGTTTTACATTACAAAGGTACCTTAAGTCACTTGAACAACTTGACATTTCTGAGTAGAATTTATCATCAGCTTATGATTTATAAAGATTCTAATTTTGGCCATTAACACAGTACTTTTACAATTCAAAATGGCATCTATTAGACAACTTATCCTTCAATAAACAAGTCTTAACTTAAAAGATGAAAGACTGTAAAGTTGTGTTCTTTGTACCTGGAACCTGGTAATGATGTCAGTCATCCGTATCTCCACAATGGACTTGTCCATGTTGTCTGAGCACAGACTCAGCACCTTACTCAGCTCTTTGTTCCTGGCCTCCAGTTTGGAGCGGATCTGCTTGTGACTGATGAAGAATTGCTGAAGGAGAAAATACAATATTGTATTATAGCCTTTACCACTCAGAAACAAATAGCTAAGGAAAACAATAGCTTTTCAGTTATTGAGTGGTGGAGAACAGCTATTCCATAACACCTGTCAATAAAATAATAAGAACCATAAATTTCACCACAGTAAGTTCATGTTGCCTTTGTTTGTTTCTGTACCTGGTGAGACTTGATCCTCTCCTCTAGCTGCTCCAAGCTAGCCTCCACCTTGTGTGACAGGAGAAGTTTCTCTGCCTGGTCCAGCCAGCGGGTGATCTCCAGGCATCCATGTTCCAGGGCCTGCAATGGCTCCTGCATCTCTGTGCACAACCTCATTCCAACAGGAACAGTCTCTCGCACCTGAAGGGTAAAACACACAACCAATTAACAGGACACATTTCTCCTAATACATCAGACATTTCTAGTTGCAATCTCCATTAATAAAACAATGCAAGCTCAAGCCAGGAAGTTTTCTAACCTTGAGAAATCTGTCCTTGATGTCCTTCAGGGCCTCAAACATGGTCTTGACCTGGTCTGGCGGTGTCTCTTTCACCAGAATCTGTCCCAGTTTGGACAGAGCCTTGATGGCACTTTCTTGGGCAGGTATCTCTGCATGTATGTCCTAGTATGAGGAGACACACAATGTCAGGAGAGGTTATGGTTATGGAGTTGCTGTATTTCTTCGACAAATGGATATTAAGCACACATTCAAGGTACTGAAAAGCTGTTGAACCAGTATGTGATCATCCCTGCAGGGTTAATTACATGTATTTCACACTTTCAAAACTCTATTGTCTTCAACACCAACATCAGACAACAACTTTAGCCAAGTATTTCACATACATGTACAAGCTGATCAACACTTTGAAAAAATCATGTCCATTTCCTGTGATGTCAGATGAATATGGAAAACACATAAAACATTGTCCTAAAACTAAGTTTATAACTGTATAAAACAAACACTCTGCTCACCTCTAAGTCCTGCACATAATCCTTGATGGAGACATAAGTCACCTGGACTGGCTTCTTCAGAACTTTCTCTGCCTTGGTCAGCCAGTCTGTCAGCCGCTTGGTTCCTGTCTGGTATTCTCGGTTCATCTTGCTCACTTCTCCCTCCTTTACCTGGTGAGGAAGAGTGAATGTTTGTGGTTAAGAAGAAAATATTTTTACTGTAACTGATACTACAGACTTTTTCACATGGTGAATTGGGCATGGTACAATGACACAGTAAATCTGTAAATTCAAACATCCAAGTAATATGAAGCAAAACACTGTACATGTACCATGGTTCCAAACATCTTAAAAATCTCTCAAACTGACAACTCTCCTTACACCAGCTAACACCTTCTTGCAACTGGTCTTCTTATTAGTATTATTGCAATTATAGACAATGCCTAATTATGGCATAACAATTATCACCTGGTCTTTGACAGAGTCAAACAGGTCCTTCCACCTGCCGTTGATGAGCAGTAGCTGTTGTTGAATATCCAGGGAGACAGTCTCATTGGTGATCTCAATCAGAAAGTTCCCTGTCTCATTCAGCAGAGTTTGTCTGTCCTGCCACTGGAACAAGTCCTGGAAGTACTCCTGCAAAAGTGGGTGTGGTCAAACAGCAGACACTTCAGTCACATGTTTAACAGTATTAAAACCTGAATGTACAGTAAACTGAGTTGGCCAGTATCTTCAGAAAAAGCATAGTCCTGTGATAAGGTCATTACCACAGTATCCATCAAAGAAATTAGGATTTGTCTACGACTTGGTACACTGCTCAGTGTTAAGAGTAAGTCTATTCGATCTCTGGTGTTAACCCATGTCTCAGGTCAGCAGGGAATCTATTGTCTTCTTCAAAAGCAGAAAAGGCTCAAAGTGAATCATTGACTCAAAGTACTAACAGACCTTGCATTCCAAACATTTCAAATTCCCATCCAAAGTTAATTTTTAACTTTTTGAATCATGAGAAATGCAGTTGAATTGTGCTAAAAGCATGCTTGAATTTATTTTGTAGTGATAAAACCAACACAACTATTGCATTAATACTTGGAACAAACAGTCTAACAGATAACGCTGACCTTCTTGACATCATTAGGCTTGCCAGCCATGGCCTCAGACTTCTCCAGCCAGTCCTGTAGGAGCTGTACACACTCGTTGTACTTCTTCCACTTGTCAATCACCTCCTCCAGCATGGTCTTCACACTCCTGATCTCCACTGACAAGTTCTTCCACTGGGCAGCCTTGTCACTCAGGAACTTACGAACTTTCTCCTTTTCCTCAGCTGGGATATCAAGGGAAATTTACAAAGTTCATGGAATCAATAACATACATGGTAACAACACAGGCATGTTTGATATCCTGCAGTATGCACTGCTAGAGGGTGCTTTTTACTTCATGAAGCAGTACTGCTGAAAATTGGTTCTCACCTGGAATTTCATCTGCAAGGTAGGCTTCTGCCACTCTCTTCAGATAGGCTGAGGTTGAGTCATATGTCTCAAAGAACTTCTTCTTGTGAATGAACTCCTGCAGTGATATTTACTATATTAGTATACAAGAAACACTAGACTGGTGTATTTTAGCAGAGGTACCAAAACCATACCTTTATAACACCACAGTGTTTGTGGCTCATTGATTGTCTTAAATATGCAGCTGGATTTTTCTAATTAATGTAAATTGGCAAAACCAAATATACATTAAATATTTTCACCTATGCACCTTAGCTGTTCAAGTCACATATCAAAACATTCTAATATAGTAATCTTTTGACAACACACTTACCATATAGTTCTTGAGTAGCTGTTCCACATGTTCCTGTTTGCCATACTTGATGGTCCAAGACTTGAGTTTGGTCTCCCCCATGACGAGGAATGCCAGCAGCCGGTACTTGTACTCCAAGTACTGGAGCTGGATGAACCTGAAACATGATCATCACAGGTTCATGTCAGCAAAGTGGAAATTCAAATTGATAAGACACATCAGCACACCCCAGCATACTGGAGGATTTATGCAACAGGTTTGTATGTAAAAGGTTAAAAATGGTCTGAGGAAAGCTCTGCAGGAACATATAGAACGAGTAATACTTTAAGAAGTAATACCGGTACTTATAAAGGGCACAACACTGTTTCACTCAACAACTAAGAATTTACAATGTATTAACTACATGTATACCCGTCACCATGGCTGTTTGTGATAAATTTAGCAAACAACATTTAAGACTCAAAAACTCACCTATGTTGTGAATCAGATGCAAGTTTAATCAACCTGCCATCCAGGTCCTTGACTTGTTCCTGTGGAATTGTCTCCCCTTTCACCCTCCCTACTGCTTTGACATCTTGGAATGCTTGGGTGTACTTGTCTAGATCCTTGAAGTATGCCTGAAGTAGGATTAACATTACGCATACACAATTAAAACTAATATCAACTATCTATCCTGTAATCCATATCATATTAAGGAGTGACCAGGCAGTAAAAGTTTTGTCCTAATCATCCTCACAACAATGCTTTGTAATTGCTTACCTTATGTTCTTGAAGCATCCTGAGGATCTCATTGGCTGTCTCCTCGTGCCCATCCTTGGTTGCTGCTGTCCTGTTGACCATGTCCTCGCCCTTGTGAAGCCAGGTGGCAATGTGCCCCAGTGGCTGGGGGAGCCGGCTGTCCATCTTCCACTGCCACCGCCGGGTCTGCTCCACTATTGCCTCCCACCTACAGAAGTCAGAGAGTTTGATCAAGCTACCTTATGTAACATTGATGTGAAATATGCAATATATACGGTGCAGGTAAAACATATTTTAAACACTTATGACACCTGTTGGGTAATGAAATATCAGTATTTCAGACATTCGTATTGGCTGTCAATAAATCTATGAGAAAACTAGAAAGGCCAATATTTGCTTTGGAGCAAATACAGCGATGGGTTCACCACATTTTACGACATGGCAGGGAAAGAATGAGAAACACAAGGGAAAACAATGATTTACATTGATATAACTATAATATGAAGTACAAAATGTAACATACAACTAAAACAACAGTTGGATAGCTATTCCCTACTTTATTGGTTAGGATTTTTAATTGCATAATGCAAACTGTTGATTTTCAAAATAAATAAAAAAACGTTCATGCCCCGCATTCCAATGCTGGAGCAGAAAAGCTTGAAATACCTACCAAAACACTTGAATAAAGACATACTGTCAGTATGGAAATGCTCTGTGCAGGTGTTAATCAAGTTAAATCCCAACAGCCAATCAGCAAGAAATGCTCTGTGCAGGTGGAAATGCTCTGTGCAGGTGTTAATCAAGTTAAATCCCAACAGCCAATCAGCAAGAAGTATAGAGGAAAGCTGCATGCCTATTGGTTGATGCCCTGCATTCCATTGTGATGACTCATGCCCAGACGTGGTAAACACGGCACACAGTAATACATTTGCTATAACACAGCCAAAAAACTCAAATAAAACCATTCTAAAAGCCTGTATCACAAAAATTTAAAAAACGCCTAGGGGTATTTGCCCACTGTACCTCCATACCAAATTTCAGGACCTTAGGCCCTAAAATGAAGAAGCTGAATCCATTTAAAAAATGGCAGGAGAAGAAGGAGGAGAAGGAGGAGAAGAAACATCAGAAAAAGCAATATGGGTTCACCACCACTTCGTGGTGTGGTGAACCCATAAAAATACAACATTTTTAGAACAACCTACCTGGTGATCATTTCTGTGATAATTGTCTTCTGTCAACATTAGGAGAAGTTTGGCTTCATACTGTTTGCTGAATCCAGATGTAAGTTTTTGCTTTGTTTGCCAGGTCCTGTTTAAAAGCCTGAAAATGCTAAATGGAGCAGTAAAAGGTACATTTTAGAATCAGGAATTATCTAACAAATGCATGTCATTTGAAGTGAAAGTACATTTGACATCAGCAACAATACTAATCTCCTGTGAAGCTATACACAATACACTTGAAAAGCACATAGCTGTGGAACAAGTCATCACTTTGATCTCTATCCTTTTTCAAGGTTTTCTACAGTGATGCACAGATACATGTAGCACTATGCACTAAACCTAACGGACATTGTCCCTAAGTCTGACAGAGTCTGAACAATCGAAAAAAGTACAAAAGTATTTAGCAGTTGACTCCGGTGTTGACATGTTGTTCTTGCACGAGTCAAGGATGTTAACATTCCAGAACACTGCAAACATGGTGTATAAGAATAACCCAGGAAACTTTTAACCAAGAATCAATACACCTCACCAATACAAACAACCAGAAGAAAGAAGGAATATCCCAGAAAATGTAACATGCTTTAAAATTGTTATCTACCTCCACTTCCTCCTGTTTAAGTCTCCCTCCAGCAGCCTTGGGACAGAAGATGCAACAAAGCAAGCTTAGACTCATTGGTGCAAATTGAAAGACAGACTCATTCACTGTCTTAGCAGACAAAATCACATCATCATGCAAAGACACACAGCTACAACAGTCCTCCTCACCATATCCAAAAATCTATGAATGGCAAGGACATTGACGTAATGCACATGCATGCAGGTTAGTCTAGCAGAGAGCACAAATCACCAAAAATCTGAGTGCAGTGCGGGTTAGATTTGCAGAAGAGAAGAGAACTTGATGAACTTCACAGTCTGGTAAGCAGGTTTAGTACAATGCTTCCCAAGCTGACAGAATTTTATGTACCTTTGTTGGTCAATATGTTTGTTAGTTATTGATATCATCCCTCAAATTGCTGAACAGTTAGAATAATACATGTAGTATTGGAAGACTTTCTTAGCACTTTCTTAGCATAAGATTATAAGCACCACACATTGTATCCATTTTTACTAGCCAAGATTAAGCAAGAATTATATACCATGTATTAACTAAATACATGTATGACAAGGACAAAGTACTCCCTGTGAGAAGGGGAGTTACCTGAAATTCATCCCCTCTACTGATACCGGGGATGCTGGCACTGAAGTCCTTCAGTCTGATCTCTGCTCGAGAGATCCAGGTCATCAGAGCCTGGTACTCCTCATTCTCCTCCCGGATGTGCAGCTCCACCTGGGACGGCTCCTGCATGGTGGAGAAATTGTTCAGTCAATCATTTCTGACAATGTCATTGTGTGCTTTTATCCTACAAAAAGCTTCTGCTTTACTTTGTACTTTTTTTGTATAACTCATTGTCTAACAGCAGCACAAAACATACTTAACTCCACAGTAAACAGCTTTCTTTATAAAGTAGATAAACAGTATTTGATCATCTGCACCACAAGTGTTAATGATGGCATATGAAGCCATGCCTCACCTGCGGTGTCTCCTCCCCTGTATCAGGGTAGGCCTGCAGGAACTGTGCCACGTATGTCATGATGGACTTCTCATCAGGCTTGCTCACATCCACGTCCTGGTGTGGAAGATTAAGACAGAATGGAAATAAAAATTCTATCAAGTAGGTATCTCCATGTTCCCACATTTGTGTCAGTGAGGTCATTAAAAGTAAGAGAGGGACTGATAATCTACATCCAAATATTTGACCATGTTTTACAAGCCTGTCTCAAAATTCTGATAAAAAATTCAGAATCTGATGACTAAACTTTTCTATAGTATATGACAAAAGAAAAAAATTCTCAGTTAGTACAAACTGTCACTGACCTGGGGTTCTAAAATTCTTGGAATTCCTAGCTTTTCTTCTGCCGTAGTGAAGGCATGCTCCAGCCTTTCCAAATTAGACTTCTGTTTTATCTCTGCCATGTCAATCAGCTCTGGCTTCACTGAGTGGATGAGAGCATTGAATGCTATACCGTCTCTCCAACTCTTCCCAAAGTCCTGTACTTCCACACCTGCAGTGCTCACTCGCCTAATTGGGATAGCAAAATTGACACACCAGCTTTAGATACAAGTAAGCACCTTTTGTACAAATGTAGTTATACAAGTTTTGCTTGAAAAGACTGTTTTACTTATTATTTACTTGTTATACATGCATGTTATTCATCTTGTTCAATTGCAAAAAAGGGAGGAATTTTACCTACAATTAGTCATGCTGTTTCAACTAGGTATTGTAAGTGATATCAACAGCAAGGTTTTAATGATGTTTACACAGTGTGGTGTAATGTACACCAAGTTTCATAGCTAGATGAATGTTGGACTCACAAAACACCAATGTTACCTCTACTACTTAAAATAACTAACCTGGCTGCAGCCTTCTTTGCCCACTTAAGAAGGGCCTTTTTGGCTCCGGCCACACCTTTGAGGCTGACTACCTTCTTCTTAACTGGTGGTTCACCTGGAACAACGATCACAGTTCATGTTGTAAGTAACTGACCTTCACATGACACCAATTCAAATACTACTTGTGTACAAAACAACAAGTTAGCAACAATCATCTAGTTACAGTTAGTTATTCTAGTTATAAACTTTGGACCTACATTCTGTTTATTGACAAGTAAGAAAAGTCAGGAAAGATAACTGCACCTGTGAGGCTGCCAGGCTTTGTGTAAGATGGAGCACCTGTCACACTTCCACTGTCCAAACTGCTGGCACTGCTGCCAAGGGGAGAGGCCAGCAGTGCTGTCAAGTCCTCAATCTGGGGTATGAACAGTACACAAATCTTTCAAACAACACAAGCTAACAAAGGAGATTAGTAAAACATGGCGGTATTTGGTTAATGATACATGTTGTCCATATCACTATCCATTTTGTAGGTATATACTAGTGGCTTAGATTAAGGGTTATGGAGCTGTTTGAGCCTACTTAATTCTCTACAACTGAAAACCTCTTGATGATAATGATCTAAATTATGGTCTCTATGACTTACTCTTTAAAATATCTGGATGATAACATAACGAAGATCCAGGCCTTTTTAACAGAAAACTTTGTGACAGTGACAGCTAGTGTTCTTCCAACATTTCAAGACCAGACAAGCTGATAACAACTCAACCACCCAAATAGTTGACCCTTATGGCATAGCTAATAACACTTAAATATGTAGTCATCATGACCCTCCAGTACAGAGGTATGTTTGTTCTTCTTAGCTAACAACTCTGCCGACCTTCGGCAAACAAACAACGGCATGTACTGCAAACAATACAATGACATCAGAAACCAAGTAACAACCTATTACTGGACTTGGTATTCGCTTTAGTGTCCTTGTCTTCTTGAGCATTGATGTATAATGTTACATTGTCTTTGTTGGCATTAACTAATCTCAAACATACCTGAAATCGTAGAATGATGGTCCAAACAAGTCCTAAAACTATAGTCGGCTTGCCATCTGCAACATCTGATGGGTTGATATTAACTAGTTTAATCTAGGAGAATAAAAGAGACAGAACCATTAGGAAGTTTGGTTCATGGTGCAAACACTGTGTGCGTACAGAACAAATACATCATAAATCTTGTAAGTAGCAAAGATTAGGTTTTGAATGAAAAATAACGGCAAAAGCACTCAACATGTCCATTAAATACAGACTGTGCAGAATATTTTTTGAAACGCTTCATTATTTGGTAATTTAACAGCATTATTCTAAAACTGACAGTAACCTATAAATTTATTGGAAGTAGATTGTACATACATGTCGATGTGATACCATACAAATACATAGAGACACACACAAAAACAGTAAATAGCACATAAAGACTTTTTTTTCATTCTACTATGTTTTCCAAGTCAAAAAGCCAATTACCCTAAACATGTGTAGAACCATAACAATCCAACAGATCAAGTCAAACATAGGGCAAGACACTTGGTCATGACAGAAGTGCATGAATCTCTGCTAACTGAAATTTGAGATATCAGAGGTTAAAAACATGTGTGAGGGACACTTAGTGTACATGGCTTCATGGCAGCCATGTTGGTGGGTAAGAAAAAGAACCGAGTACCACTTCTGTGACATTATACAATGACACATATCACCTTAGAAAGGATCATACTAGTACCATGTACACACATGTACTTCATAATCACAAAAACTACAAATTCTGGGTTTGCTGCAAAGCTTGAAACTTGATTTCTTCTTGAATTCAGGGGCAGAAGTCAATTAAATGTTAGATTTTCACAGTTGTGAGAACCTCCATTGTCAAGTTCAGGTGCTAACCTTTCAACCTTCCCATGACTTGCTTTCTTAACAAAAGTAAGGTAATCAAATAAAAGGCCTCCTTGTAATAGAGACTCAACACCCCACCAATTTGAGTTCATGACACACAATTCACAGAAGATTACAAGCTACTCACATTTCTGGCTTCCAAGTACTGCAGCGCAGTCTGTATGTTGGTTAGGTGATGGAGCCGTTTGAGGTGTCTGCCTTTTTCACACGGCTGAAATGACAACACTCTGGTTAATCTTTAACCACTTATATTATACAGCTCTTTGGGCTCAGTCAACAAGACTGCCAACAGTATCCTGAGGTGTACTATGGAGGCTTTCTGACTGAACTTGTATATTTGTGACAATCAGTAAACTTGGAACACAATAATAATTGTTTACTCACTGAGCATTTACGTCAGGTCTGTTAAAGTCAAAAGTGGCCAGAGTCAGACATACAAAGATTCAGCTGTGTGGAAGTGTAAGGATATCTGAATACCCATTGCTATTGCAGAAACAATCAACTACAATGGCCTTTGGAGCAGCCAAATGATGAAACAAACAGGAAATTACAATGAGTCAAATATGCTTAATGTTTCCTGTCTGCTCCAACTGAAGAACTGTTCAAACAATACATGCAATGGGTCAAATAATGTACGTAAGAGGAAATGTGCCTGTTATTAATGCTTGCTTGAGTATTGAGAGGATTTTGATAAATGGCAGATGAATATCCCACAATAGATAATAATTACAATGGATATCATAGATCAGACGATACTTTCAATGAACAGTAAAATACAACTTACCATCCCTCATATAATATCTTCCTTTCCTCAACACCTACTCTGCTACTGTCTCAGAATCTTTTTTCAATCAATTTGCATATTCAACATCATCTTTATTAAGTATGATCCTTGAAGTACATTTTTTTCAAATATCTACTATTTGGTTGTATTCCATCTTGAAAGAAGAGTTCTAGTCAATCAGTGACTCTTAAGTAATATAAGGTTGAAATTTGTGTACCAGTTTTTCTCCAGACAGCACCTCCAGCAGGGCCAGCAGTTTGATTCCATCCTTGAACTCATCACAGATATTCTGCACCTTCAGGGGTGGATCATGCTGCAAACAGACACAATCATTCATTTGGTGAATGAAAACAATGGCTCGCTGTGTAACTATACTAAGTATGTTCTACATGTATATGGGTCAACACTGACTATCTTATTTATTTAACATTTATTTTGCTTTAAAGGTAACTGTTATGCTTTCACTTTTAAACCATCTAACTTCTAATCCACAAGCATTTCATGATACTGATGCTTTACTGAAACATACTAGGACTTGATAGTACTAGTATGTAATTCAGCTAGTATATTCCACCTGTTTAGAGAATGCTAATGATTCTGATTTCACTTCCTTTCCTGGGCATTGTGTGTGATTTATTACCAGTCACAAAGTACTAGTATTAGATTACATTATGCATTTAGTTGCTATCATTGTTGCATTTTTCTAACAGGTAGTTATTTCAAAATGACATGCGACACTAAGGCCCTTGTGACAGGCTTAGGTACTGCAAGGAACATATGGCCACAAATTACTTTCCTCAGCCATTGGGAAGGGCAACAACTGATGGAACAGCCTAAACCTCATCAAGGATCATTATAGCCCTGAAGACTTTCACTTCCCAACTTTATCAATTCCTTCTGCCTAATTGCAAGAAAGGCTTCATACTACATTTTGTACCTATAGCAGTTATAGTGTTATATTTCACAAGACATAGACAGAAATTTGTAGGTGTGTTTTTATGTGTTCAGTATTTGTTCCCAGATTCCTGGGTAATGAATCAGTGAGGGCAGGCTGGGCCATCCTGTAGGCACAGCAGGGTGGAGAATCTTGTGTTTTGGCAGGAGAAGGGGGAGGCATATGATAACCAGATGTGGGGCAAATATGGCAACAGTATCCAGTTGGCAGCCAATGACAGATTGATGGTGTTTTAGGATTTGTTATGATTGGCTCACAAGTAGTTCCTTGGCTGAAATCAATTTAGCATAAACATCTATGTTTCATTAGTGGATATATGATCACGTCCCCATGTACTTCATGAATATTAGTCTGGAGGAACTCTGCTGCAGATTTTCTGATAACTTTGCATGACAACTGACTATAAATTACATACTAGATTTTGATGTGTGTTGATTGAGAGCTGTCTATACGTCCAATAGAAGATGGTGTTTGTGACCTCGTATGACTTTTCTCTTGTATTAAATGAATGATGAATGATTATAATGACATTACATTCTTTTGAAACAATGGTTATAAACTTGTAAGTGATTTTATCCTGAATAAACCATTCATCATCATCATTATCATCTGGAGGCAGTAGACATTAGCAGATAAAATACATTTCATGTTTTGTACATTTGTAATTTTGTCATTGGCTTATAATAAATTTGCAGACAAATTTTACAATGTCCAGCTTTAGACAAATAGCAGGACATATACTATATTTCTGGATCAGTCATGACCTGACAAAAATGCTACTTAGCATTCAATTTAATAGTGACTTAGTGACTAAGGGTGCTCCTGTGTACTTGACATTTGACCTTTTGCAGTTACCCCTGGCCTGCCTGTTATCTCTGTCAATGTCAATCTGAAATACTAGTACCTTGTTCAATAAACAACTTTTACCTCACCATAGCTTCTGACAGCTGCTACATATAAATATAGATTCTCTGTCCGATGGTGCATGATATCCGTCACCATATGTTACATACTAAGTCTTGCTTATCTGTATCTAAGCAACACAAAACTCATAACATGTCAATCAAATAGGGGAAGTGGTCAACGTTCTGTGACAAGAGAACTGGAACTCTGGCTCTGAGGGCTTCAAGGCAAGGCAATTATTGTAATCATTGGCAATTACGGCCATCACAACAAAGCAATACTTATCTAACAGCACATCTTCAGGGTACCTCTACCTCAGGCTACGTACCATTTTACAGTAACACCTGTTAGGCAGAAATCAGTTACACCTAAATATCAAATCAAAGAATGTAATACAAAAGGATGATTAAGATGGCACCCACGCAAATTCCCTGGCAGCCTATCTTGATTTGGTGCAACAAAGTTTGAAACCTGACTGAGAAAAAAATTCTGCTCGACATAATCTGTGATTAAAACTGGATGAAGATAATACATAAGGATGAGTCCATTTTTCACAGCCCTTCCCCTCAGACGTTTTGTCTTCATAAGCCAGCACAAACCTGAACATTACTGACTGTTTGACATTACTGACTGATGGCAACCACTAAATCTATGTCTCCTAATCATAAAGTGCTGATAATGAGTTCTTTCCACAACAGCTTACAACCAAAATTTGTTCTTTATCAGATAGGTTTTAGAGGCAAAAACACCACTAGCACTACAGAGATTGGAATTTGCCAGATAATAGCCAACTACTGGTAGTATATGTGGGTAATAAAACTGAAGATATTTGAACAACTTTATATTTACAGAACATCTTACCACTCTTGTAACATCTTTCTTGACATTACGAATCTATACTTTTTTTTCTGGTGCTATAAGTCTATTTTCCTAGAAATTCATGTTTCAAAGATCTGCATGCCAGCATATGCTTGGGTCAAAACAGATATGCAGCAGCCTGAGAGATTAGACCTATTTGTACCAGATAAGAAGCTTTCATTATCATTGGCCTGAGTGATAACCCAGGGCATCCTGTGGTCAGTACAAATACGTACACACCAGGTATGGCACTGGGTACACAGTGTTATGTCAATATCTATGTTTGCAGACGTTACGGCCTTAGGGACTGGGCGGGAACAGGTTGTATGTGAAGCTTTTTTCACCTGCCCATATTCGGGAGGAAGGAAAGTACCAGGATGTCATTTCTGTATACAATGTGACAAAGGCCTTCAGGCTAATGACCTAGATGTATTGTGCAAACCAACTTAAAAATAGAAACATATTAGCATATTATGCTAGACTGCTTCCAATTGGTACAGCCTTTCAAAACCACATGTTGAATGTTTTCAAACATACATCTTAACCAGAATGTTATGAATGCTTACCTCATGCCCACTCAAAATAAATTGTAGAAATGGTAGGTATTGGTGACACAGGTGGGGGGTAACCAGGTGCATGGAGTATATGGCATAATAGTCGTAATGGTTGTGGTCATTTGTATGTTGATACATTAACAGTATGTGCTTACATTCTTGACAGCACTGGTCAATGAAATTAAGGTTATGTATGTACATTTTGTTTTGTAATACAAACATCTTGTGGACATTTTTGGGAGTCAGACTCAGAGAAATTTGTCTTAAGGCACATCCATACAGGCTGCCTGTTCAGGCTGGATCAATAAATACTGGAATGCAAGAACTAAAACTTAACCTATAACTTGTTTGAATATATCAAGCCGTAACACTGCTCTTCTTTTCTGAACCTATATGTACAAGCCACCAAGTACTAACTTAGTACTTAATCCCCTTGGCCATAATTGGGGCAAAATTATTACCACCAGGCACAGATAACACATAGCTGACTTGTTCTATGCTTGTCTCATTGAATCTTTTCATATTAAGTACTTACATACTTATGAACAGTGATTAATGATCACATTCTTTCAAATTTCAATTTAGAAATTTCTATCAATCTGTCTATTTTGTCAAGAAAAAAAGACTCATCATAGCTTTGTAATTGAATGATAAACACTTGATTGACCAAATCTTCAATAACTCTAAGAACTGTGTTTGACTTTGGGGTTTACTGTTTACATAGTCACCTACTGTTTGAACTGGTATCAAGTCAAGGTCTACAAGTACCATTCAGGTCGTAATAGTTACACTGTATCTGTGTACTAGAAATTGAAAATTAAATTAGGCAGCTGCACCTACCTTCATCAGATGTGAATTGATCCAATTAGTGAAGGTCCTCTTCTGTACTTCCTCCTGCTCATCTGCATGAAAAGAAACAACATTGAGTTCTTACTAAAGATACAAAATCAAGTGTTTATATGCTTTAACATGCAATGCTAACATGTACCTTTAGTTTGGGATTACCCCAGTAATCATAACAAAATGCTTCATCACACAGGTAACAAATCATAGGCAACAATAGCAAACAGACATCACACATTTATACATGTAAATCTCTCTCTTCATCAGTATTGGTCACCTGTTATGAAAACTGTACAAACACCTTGAGATTTGTAAAAACAAGAGCTGGAAAAAAGTCAATTGTAAATTACAGGTCTCTGTAGTGGCTAACTATTTCAGAGTTTGTGACCTTCTAGTAGAAGTTTTCTGTGTATATTTCCCCAAATGACTTGAACTTGAACTGCATGTAGGTGTACCTGTAGTAGTTAAACTGCTGTCAGTATCTGTCTCTGTATCAGAGTACTCAAACAGGGACTTGATCTCAGACAAGGCCATGAGTAGACACAGCATACTGTACTTCCAGCCAAGTGAACCACAAATTGAACATTCTGTTATACCTGAGAGCTACACAATTGTAACCTGTTGCTGCAGGTCAAATATTGACAAAATGAATAAATTACATATTGGGATAAGCTAGGATTAATGGAGAGTTAGCACACTACACTTTTGTAGGTAAGACCAGACCATTTATCCAGTCTTAAGTTTCATTATTCTTATCTTATTTCCATATTACACATAAGCTTATGATCAATAACTGCCTTGGTGAACTTCATACATGATACAACTGAAGGAAGTTGATTATTTTCTCTTTCCTTTGTCTTATGCTCAAAATATTCAACCCCATGGTCCTCATGGACATTCTTGAATCTGACCTACATGCACACCCACACAGTATTTTACAACCTAAAGCATGTTTGACATTCCTGTTTCACAGGAGACTACGAACCACTGAAAAGACACACCCATTGCCATGTCAGCTACAGCTGCCACCAGGGCTGTTGCTCCCTTACTGTACGGACATGAGAGTTCCCTTGTGTAGAATAGCATGAAAATCACAAGGCAGCAGTACCTACCATCAAATTCTGGATACTCATTTATAGGGAAAAGGCGCCGCTGGTTAACCCACCAATCCATTGTTTGACACTATCCTCAGTTGCAATGCAGTCCAGTCCTTGCAATGGTGAATAAAATGTTCTGATTGAATAACTACCATACTTGTTTTGAAAATCAAACTGTGGTCTGGATGTGACCTACAGCATAGGTGACTTGCTTAACCGTTACCTGGGTTAACAGTGTGTGCTTTGTTCAAAAAAGGTTTATTCTTAGTTTATTGTTTCTGACAAATACTCCAACCATTTACCTCACCTCCTGAGCAAACACCATAATGCACCTGTGAATTCAGCCTGCCATAATTTTGACATCAATTATGTGTGAGTGATGAGATGTGGCATGGGTAGCTAGGCTACGCCCAATAGCCTGCTGGGTCAAGTTTGCCTTATCTACCCCCCTTACAGCTGCACAAGTATGAACATGCAATCATTTACAACTCAGGTAGCAAGAAAAGGAAATGACCCATGGCAGTCCCACTATACTACGACAAATTTGCTGGAAAGGTGCGTGTAAAAGATTAGTACTGTTGAAACTGTTTAGCACACATGTATCATTGACAGAAAGTCCATGACAGAAATTAGTTACTATGCACAGTGCACAGTAGTTACCACAGCTTGTAGGGGGATGCTGAGAAACATGTTCTCCAACATGGACACAAGGTGAGCAGACTCTTTATATGTAAACATGCTATAAACAACATGGCCGTTCACAAACTCCTTACAAATACAAGCAGCAGGTTTTAAGCTTTGCCCTAAAACCTCTTGACAGAGAAAATAATGTCTCAGTAACACACACCAGTTGGATGATCACTCTATTACAACATTGAGTCTCATGTGATACTGCAAGCACTGATTCAAACATATTTTGGGTTCAATCTATGGAGACATGATTCAGAAATTTAGAAGATGTCAAAGTGTATACATTCTAATGTTATATGTCCAAAATTTGTGAATTCCTAAAATATCCATAGAATCATAAGAGGGCTTGAGATGGGAATCTTTAAAAGTACATAGAGATTATTGCTCCCAAGGTGACCTTATAACCTGTGACAACCTGACCTAGATTCTTTCCATACCCAGCTCATGTCCTTTGTGGTCTGCACACAATCCTAGAATACTTCTCCTTGTTCTGCCTAATGCCTGGTAGTTTATCATAAGCATCTGAAATCATCACCACCACTCCAGGTTTCTATGTCAAATCTTTGTCTGTAATAAGAAACTTTGCAGACAAAGATTCTTTTACTTTTACGTTTTAGGTACTGTCAAAGATAATTAAAAGACAGACTTACTGATATTCTCATTTCATGATGAAGGAACAGTAATTAGTATCCAAAGAGTGCTATCTCAGATCACAGAACGGATTTGACTTGAGTTTACAGCAATTACTAGCCATGTGAACTCAACTTAAACTTGAGTTTACAGCCATAGTTATAGTAGGTCAGCTGTGGTAGCTGTGCAGCTGGCAGTAATGTTCTTAAGCAGGTGGCACAAGTGGGGAAGCAACAACATGAACTTGTGACGGGTACGTGATGGTTAACCCATTGCACAGTGTCAGTGGTGATTTACTTTACAGTTGACTCAACAATCTCAGTTACTTGACCTAACAAGTCTAATTTCTCCTGGGACCATTTCACCATGTTATAGCTTCTATTCTGGTTAGTCACAATGAAATAAAGTGGACAGATGATGGCTAATTCACTATGTTCAGTCATATGACAGATATGATATTCTCTCTATCAGTCAGTCTATCTAGTACATGTACAGACTAGGACATCGTACTGCACAAAAGGTACAACATTAGATGACCTTTTGACATACTAAATGTACATGTAACACCAGGGGGCATTCTAATTTCTTCTGATCTGCCCTGTCAGAGGACAAGCCTGATTATGATTTCAATACTATAATCAGACAACATCTGATGCTAGACTAAAAGGAATTCAAATAACATGTCTTTCCATTTCAGGGCCTCTGTAAACTTTGGAATTATAATATGGACAGGAATTTATCAACATCCTAAGTTCCTCTCAAAATTATGTTATCACCCCAGTGTGGTATACAATGTACATATGTATAAAAACAGCTGGGAAGGACTACAGTACCCAGTTGTGTTATGATGAAATGAATAAATAAGTGACTAGGAAATAATGCTTTTTTACAGTCTTATAGATATTGATCAGTTTTTCAACTTGTACAAAAAGTGTGTGTATACACAGTATATATAACATAAGTATACAAAGCCCTGCTGAGAATGCATGTTACAACTCTACCTATAGCAGAGATAAGTATACTAGTACTAGTACTGTAACAGATGGCTAACTTGACTAATTAATTGATTTCTGTTTGGTGTCTCTGGTGTTCAAACTTGGCACATAGTGTGCACAGTGTTTACATCGTATTTGTTCTAGTTTCACAAGGCCCTGCTAAACTGAGGTGTTAAAAAGAAAGGACTTCAATAATATACTTTATGTACTCTCCAGACATAATTAGCACATATTTGCTACAGCTATAAACCTTGGGACCCACATTGTCCAAATCTTGATGTGTTGAATGCCGGATCACTATCTAGTGGTATAAGCATAGAATCAGGCATGATTGTACTGAAAATTGTACTGAAAATTATCAAGTTGAAAAAAATAAATAAATCAGATTATTTGGACATTTATCATTGATGTAGGACAATGTCCATCTGATTGGCCTTTCTTGCTGGGAACAGTATTTTCCAAGCAAATGACATATGTGCCTTGCTAGCTACAAATTGCCTACAATGGCAATTAGTGAAATAGCTCCATGCCATGACGAAATGAAAATTGTACTTATACATGTATACATAATGAATCAAAGATAGCGAGTTTAATGGCAAGGTTAGTACCATGCAAACATGCACCTGTTTTTGTCAGACCACCTGCTCAAAGGAAATGAATGATAATATGCAACAACAACTTAGGATTACATACATTTTTGTAGACCTAATTTTTTACAGAAGCAGAAAGTAGCTCGTACTTACTTGGGTTTGTACAACATGTTATAAGTTGCTCATAGCAAGGCAGGGAAAAATGGTGAAGCAGCATGTGAGCTCAGTAGTAGTGTGGAAGAGAATGGACAGCTCATGGTGTGACAAATTGTTGATACAAAAACGATGGCAGCTCAGAAGATATGGCAGCTCAGAAAATATGGTATTGTGTTTCCTTACATGTTTATTCCCACGCTCATATAGGCATGTAGTACATGGACGTGTAATATATGGACACGTAGATGTACATACTTCTTACACAGATACACAGGTGGATTTGTGGAATGTTTAACATAGTAGTAAGACTGAAAGGTACACTACAATCCATTTATGTACTGCTCATAAGTTGGCATTCATCAACATTTGCGCAATACTTTTTCTTCTTGTCATCACTTTCATACATGTGGACCTTGATAATTTTCACTGTTTTACTGGGATTTGCAAAACACCCACTTTGCAAAACCCTACATGTTAAGTAGGCTTAACAACACCAGCAAGAGTGCTCAAACATGTGTGAAATACAGATCACATTACATGCATCTACCATTTCGCTGCTAAACCTTTTGAAAAACTGATCTGTATTGTTTTTTTGTTCTATATGAATGCCAGCAATAAAAGGCTTATTGTGCAACGCAGACATATATTTCAACCAATAAATGTCACTGAACTCAAACAATACTGCCCTCTGAGCCTAACAAACCAACTAAATTGCACTTCATACGATGGGAGCCCTAACCACAAATGAGATAACCTAGCCTCTAACTAAATTTAACTTTGGCTTTATTTTGGTTGTCTCAACCTCAATTTCATACCATGTCTGACCTAAAGGACCTTGGTATTGATGTATGTTTGCTCCTATCCAATCACATTCAACCTTGACCGTTTATCTTCTGAATGGATGATGACATCTGTAACAGATACACTTGGATTAAATACCCAACAGGCAGTAAAGTAGAAATTTGCTCTGGATCCAGGAACTCAGCTGGACTTATCAATTCCAATATGTCAGCCCTGCTCTAAATGGCAGGGGAGAGTTTTGCTACAAACAGATTACTTTACTCTGTTGAACATTGATTAAGATGGAATACAGGTCCCCAGGAGCCTAATGTAATATTCCTTCCTTTCATCTAATGAAGTTGATGAAATGGGTCCCTGTTGGAGCCAGCCCTGTCAAGATCAGATTCGTGCATACCAACGTTAAATACTTGAAAGAACAAATCGCCCTTTCAGTAGGGAAACTTTGATATGTACCAAGCCAGAAAAACACACATACAATATACAGCCGGGTGGGCAAATGCCTCTTACATGAAAGAGCTCTTGTTATTGTACCATGGCTGTTGCTAAAATATCTGAGGTCACGGTCATGAAGAACACAGTGGGACATGACATGCATTTGATGCCAACAGTTGGTCTCAGGTTCTGTGTGTTTATCTTACCTGTACCTTCATAACACAAGGTTTTCCTAATGTTCTTGAAGTGCTTAGGGATATCCTTCTGGGGATAGGAAAGGGTAACAAAAACCTGGCCAATGCCAATACCCGACCACAAATGTTGTGACCCTATACAGTAAAGGGAATCCTAAATATAGGAGTGACCGTGGTGGTTGTGAAGTCTATCTTCCAGTGATAGAGGACACTTCATGAGTACAATGGACAGAAAGGACATGTTATGTCTCAACAACAGTTAAGACACCTACCTCTCAAGACAAGCACTCCCTTGACAGACTGAATACTTTCTTCCTTGTGACGGATCATTGTTGGTACTCCATGAGGTTTACCGCACAGTTTCAGCTGTCACATTACATGGACGGTAATGAACACACCCCTTCTGTGACATAGGGGCACTCAGTTCAATTGCAATCACCCTGAGTGCATTGATTGGGGCATATCTTGACCATTTCTGTGCGTGCACTGCTCATATCAGGACAGCCCAGCTTCAACATCAGTTAACCAATGGAGCGCCTTCGGCCTGACACACTGTGTTTGGAACTGGCATGCTGGGTAAACAGACGACGGCTGAGTAGGTTGTGATAATGCAATGAACCGTTTGCCCTGCCCCTTTGTATTGTTTCTGACCTGCCACTAAAACAGGTTGATTTGATACATGTTGGGATTTGTATTAAGATTTGTATATTCTTCATGTCAAACAAACTGGACTGTCATATCAGGATGTTGCTTTCTTTTTCTGGCACTGTTCTGTCCCTGGACCAGCCTACAAGGTAAGTTCGCATTACATTGTTTTGTAGAAACTCTTGGAAACAGAAGGTCGGTAGGTAACCTTAGACTTTGAGGGGGCCCATAGCCTAAGGCTTTTCAAGCAGAAAATATGCAAAGAAAAAAAAAGGTGGATTTCAATTAATTATTCAAGCTGATTACCCTTACATCTTAAATATATAAATATTATTCACTATAGCTGTATTAATTAGCTGGATTATTGTAATGCCCTATGAATAAAGTATTTCTATTTCTACTGTACTGAGAATAAATTACAGAGTATCCCATAAATGGCCACAGGTTTCCCATGAGAAGGGTGAGTATAGGCATGACGGGACAAACCATGACCTCTTTTATCTATCTGATTCCAGTAAATAAAAATGTGTTTCAAATAACATACATATTGTGTGTCATATCATATAATACATACACATAAGGTTTCAACTATGCATGGCTCATACAATATTGAAATCTTGAATGTATATAATAGATACTGCATGTCTGTGCACATGAAAACTTCTAATAAAACAGTTAATATTCAATCTGCTACATTCACTATGACTAATAAAATACCCTGACAAACAGAACTAATTATTTTAAAAAATGTATTTATTATTATCATATACTAGTAACGGATAAGTCCTCTGATGTAGACTCTGCTTGATCTGTTGGTAGTTTTTGTTCTCTATCTAACTCTAAGATCTAGGTATTCATGACAATCTACAGTAAAAAGCCTGTATCACTTTTTCAATTTTCAAACATGACTATCTTGTAGTAACTGTTATACATGTTTTGCATACAAAGCACTCAATGCGAATCACTTTGTTGAACTGTTTCCATGTTACTGTTCATACGATTGAATGAATTTTGTGACCCTTCACTGCTCTGGAAAGTTTGTCATGGATTGAGATTGTTTTATCTAGGATTAACCCTATCAACATCGTAGACCAACTATGTAACAAGTAGTTTTAAACCACAATTGTAATAATAATAGACTTTTTGTGGGTTGGGGTGTGGGGACAAGGAAACTTTGAAAATACAAATGTATATACATTACCTGATACTAGGATCTTTTTTATGTTTCTCAGCATAGTTTCCTACTGGAACGGACATCAACAGAATATCAGGTGTCTTTGTCTTTTAACCTCTGACCTGGTAACTAATGGCAACGACCAAAGAATAAACAGGTGCTTCTTGTGGCAACTGAAGCATAGACAATCTCCATTGTTCTAAAGTGACAGTTGCCATTAGAAAGTGACAGTTCCCAAGTTTTTGCCATTGTTTTAGTCTGAAAGACTCTGATATTTGAGATTCTGGTTAGACCTTATAGTTGTGTTGACAGTACTAACTAAACTGATATTAAGATATTAGAAAATTTATAGGCTTATTTAACTTTCGACAGCCAGTACCAGTAGGACAGTACTATGTAGGCCATATGTGTAACAAAAACAGAAAACAACTTGTCAATACTACAAAAAGATGTGTCTTTTTTTTTTCATGGGAATAGGCAGAGGCAAACTATAAAACTGGAGTAAGGTTTGTGGCAAACTATAAATGCATTCCTGCTCTTTAGATTTTGTTACACAGCAGATGTAAATGCTATTGGACTGGAATTTCAATTTTGGGTTTGTTCCAATTCTGTTGTAACTTAATTCGGTCTTTCCTGCACTGGGGACTGAAGGAAAATCGATGTGAATCTGATTTACATACAATTTGGTTCAGTGAACAGAAACCTGAAAACACCTAGAGCATTCTTTGTTTGGCTGCTATGGGTGTGCTGTTGACAAAGTTCATAATCATAAAGGCATATAAACAAAACTGAATGATAGTGATACGACAAGAATTTCTTATGAGATATTTTCTATGAGACTTCTTAGAAGTAAACTTTGTTGCCCCACATGCTTGAAAGACTGTGCACAGTCTTTATAGGGACATCAAAGAAGCACCTGACATTCCTGTTGTAATGGGCAGGATTTATAAGCTCCCCATGGGGTATCACCTGTTGCCTCATGTTTATGCAACAAAGGAACTTGGAAACCTCTGCAGTAAGCAGACTTCAGTCACCAAACCTAAATTATGTATGTAGACAATTGTTGTAGGCTTTGCTGTATGTGCTTTGCTGTATGCTCATAAACATCTGAAAGTTCTGATGGTCATTAGGACTATGCTGAATAAATATCTCCACTGCTCCAGTGAACACAAACCTTGCTATTGACCCCTGTTCATATTGTGTTGTTCATGCCATGTCATCATAGCTACATGTCTGGTGTCACTGTCACTTTGTAATGTGTGATTTCAACCTTGTTATATAATCATTCAGCTATTATTGACTACATTGGTCTAAACTATAATCTTATTATATGACAGTGTCTGTGTATGTAATGACTACAGAAAAAGATACCATCCATGTATACAAGGACATTACTAGTATACAGATACGTGACGTACATGTATACAACATACACTTCAGTCCCCTGGCCTATCAAATTGATTTATGGCTCATTTAACAGCTTGACATGCTCTTATAACAATCCATAATTGTGTCACTTTATTACCCTATTATGCTTCATTACCTCCTTCTAACTTCTAAGTATATAAATCTATACAAAAAGCTGTCAATCATTCAGCTGTCCCAGATCACCCACATTCACTCAGCTAACATAATCCATATTAATGATTAATAATTGATAAATGATTCAACTGTTCTGGAAGGAATCCCTAAAACACCAGTCCCTGGATTGTTTGTAATTACTAGTAACATGATGAAAACTCTTACTAGTGCATATACATGTACATGTACAATGTACATCATTGTCTATTTCTGACCATGTATTGCTGTAATATTAAAGAGGCTAGCCAGCTACTATGGTGGTCCCCTAGTCCCCAGTTTTACTTTTGAGTTTAGTACCCAAAGCGCTCTGTTTGGTCTGGCACCAAGGCAACTTAGTTACTGGCATGTGGGCAGCAAGAGACTGAAACTGCTATACCAACATGTCCTAGAAAGGTTATGACCACATGCTCTTGGCAACTCATTGAGATGTATTGTTAAGCATCAGTTTATGAATTATGGTAATCATATGAAATGACACACAACAGTGTACTAAAATAGGCTACATATAATTTTTTTTTCTAATTTCAACTTAGGCTAATACCAATATAAAGTTCAAGGCAGAGAGACATGTGTTATGTTTTACATTCCATCTCACCCACTCTACCCTCTGAAGTGGACTCCCAACCCGTATCACTTTCACAAGTTGAACAGGATTAAAATCCCTGGATGGAACATTCATCATGAGCTAGCCATATAGACTACACACATAACAACAGTCTGTGTTTTTTTAAAGGTGTTCCTTCTCCTTTGTCAATTTTCAATTCCATTCGTATTCTAACTTTCCTGTTAGGGCAATTGAGGCATTCAACTCCTCTTTTAAATTGCTGCTTCTGTGACAGTCTGAGTTCCAATACAGAGGGCTGTATCTCAAGAAACAACTGGTAATGATTTTTTAAGTCATTCATATAATTACATTATTCAGCAAATCATATCAAATCTAAAAATTGTTACATTAATACAGAATGCCAACATAAATAGTTTCAAGGATATCAAATATTATCAATTAATATGAAAATGACCATGGCCTGATGATTAAATATGAGCAGGTACCTCTGTTACAATATAAGATGGGGGATGCAATATGATGTTTTGAAATAAGTATGCGGTCTGTAGTGCCCATTAACATTTACAGCGAACCTATTTGGCTTGCTTTGTTCCATTTTCATGAGTGATTCAATGGAGCAGTACTTGTAAAGTGGAGACTAATGTGATTGTGCTAGCAATCTAATTTCTAGCATATCACAGTACTGTCTAGCTGGGAATTGCATTCTGGCAATTACATGTCTGTCATTACAGAGGGTCTTTACAACAGCAGCTTTGTGATGGCTCCATTTGCTGGTAATTCCTTGTATGCACTCATACTCACTGGGCATGGTGGATTGGGATCAGTGACAAGAAAAATTACCCAGGGAAAGTAAATATATAAAGCTGGCCTCTATTCTATATATCTTGTCCTGTTTACAGTATAAGAGTTGCTGACAGAAAATTGCATTCCAGAAATGATATGAATTACTTCCAATAACTGATGTTCTATAGTGTGACGGTTCCACATCGTGACGCCTCAGTCATTCCCCCCTTCCCATTGCATTGTAAACACTGCATGGTGTGCCATTTGCTAGCCACTTATGTTGGCAGGTGCCTACCACTTTGGTCACGGTGAAACCCTTCAACTTAAGTTTGACGACTAAACATGTTTTTTGCATACGCACTCAATGAATGTCAATGCATGTCATGCAAAGAGACTTCTAAAATCACGAAATATAATATAATGCACATGATACAAAGTACCTTGTCCTTTACAATCATGCCAGTATTTTGAACTAAAAATTCCTCCATGATTATGTACTGTATTAAAGCAAATCCAAAACAGGCTAACAACAGATGACAATTGAGAGGCTCTTAAACAAAAAGAAAACAGTGGTCACCTGCAGTCGCACTTTGAAAAGATCACATTCTGTGTTTTTCAGGAGTAAAATGGAACCATAATCACACAGTTTACATGACATGTATGCAAATTACATATACCAGCCAGAAAGGATGAGGTTATGACAATTGGCATACTAGTGTGTGAGACCATCTAAAGCATATCATGTTACAAGCGGTAGGAGCTCTGCCTTCTTGATAGCTGATCAAGTGGGACTTATAACACCTTCACCTTTAGATCAAACAAAAGTCTCTTGAAGGGTAACAACAAATAAAATGCCAACAAGATCTTTTTCTAACCAAAAGCCTCACCAGGTTCAGAAGGGTGCGGTTTTATAGTATGGTTGCCAAGACTGGCAACTCACATTCAAAACACCACCACACCACACTGACACCAAGTGACATGACTAAAAACGTGCTTAAAGTAAATGTATCTGTGGAAAGACAGAGGGTACTCACGAATGTTCTCACATACATGCTCCTGGTACAGGTCAAACATCCTTACAAAAACACTTGGACCTAAACTGAAGGAAGCCAGCCTGTTCCAGAGTACAGTTGCAGGGCGTATGGGATGTTTTGAAGTTCTGTGGCGTGGGCTGATGTTACTAGTCACAACTGATAAATGCATTCTGCGTGGACGAGGATTTGCCTCTAAGGTATTTGGCTGGATATTGACAGACCCAAACCTGATAACTTAAGACCTAAGTTTGCCTTTTCGAGATAGGGTAACCCATACACCTTGCTCTGCATACTCTTGTTCAACCTTGTAAGTATGTCCAAGGCTTTATAAGATGAAGTTCCTGTAATTTGACTCTTATTTTGGTTTCTACTCTGGTGCATTGTTAGCATGAGGCTCTTTTATCTCCTACTTCTTTCAAGTTAGGGATCACTGCACGGTATTCAACAACTTATTCTACTGCTTTGTATACCCTAGGAAGACTAAGGCCAGCTTTCTTTGTCAAAACACCAAAACACTATATATAAGACTGAGACTCTTGATCACCTGATAACTTTTATCCAGTTATTATTCTCTTCTACCAGTTGTAACTTATAAATGCTACTAGCAAGACTTCTAGTAAGCATAACTGCTTTTTGAGAAAACAACTTGGAGAAAATAAAATAATTGTTTTCTCATTTCTAAGTTTTCTGTCATTTCCTAATATACTATCCTTTCTGACCTACAGTCTCCTTTATGATGGTCAAGTGGATAACCAAGACTTTTGAGTTTTGTGTATTTATAACGTTATCTATTTTATTATCATATAGTTTTCTAAGTTCTCTTTTGCAAAAAAAGGCTTTCATCAATGTACCCCATTTATAATCTAGCTATACTATTTGGGTTCATCAGAGTTGTCTGTTTTGACAGGCTCGAGTAACATTTGAGAGTGCAGCATGCAATGAGAGTAACTTGATGCCATGGGCTATAGAAGTAGGGCATCAGGGCAAACCATTCCTGATCCATATGGCACAGTTGTCACAACACACATGAAGGGTGAACAGGTGGACAGAATGTATATTCAACCCAATCCTTATTTTCTGTTTTGACACAGGTCTAATAGAGATGCCAGAAGTCACTGGACCAAGATGGAATACATGGGTCATGTGGAATGATAATTCCTCCTGCTGGAGAAATGGACAGGTGTCAGATGTGAGCTGATGAAAACCCCCAGACTTACACAGCCAACAACTACCTCCATAAATTAGAAACTTTATTTTTCAAGGACTCTGATGCAAAGTACCCGAAAACTAAGTACAAAGTAACATAATGTGATAGTGATAAAAGTATTAATTGACTACTCTCCAAGCAGAGGTATTAATTGACAGCATACTGACATACCTACACTCTTTTAAAAGGGATATTTTCAGTAAAAGACATGATAAATGTTTTTGAATATATCACAACTTCACAGTTTCATCGATCAGTAAATTGTCACAGGTATGCCAAGTATCCTTGGTATGTTCTGCTGTCAACTTATTATGTTACATGTTTCATTCTGATTTACGATATAACATTATAACATATGGTCTAGCAACATCCTTCAGAATGACCAAGATAGACCACTTTTACCTACACTTGGAGACTTTATTCACTAGTACAGTACAGACATGACTGACAAATATGCTCTGTGGCATGTGAGGTTATATGTGATGAGACCTCAGGGCCCTCTGGTATTTCACACATAGTAGTTACCCCATATCCTTACCTCTTCTGCTGCCAATCTGTGAGCTCAGACTCCTTGGAATGGATCCAAGTAAAGGAGGTCTCTTTCGCTGGCCTGACATCCTTTCCTTGGTCACTACACCCGCAGCAACATTTGAGCAAAATTCCAACCTCTTGTGATGCTTGAGGGTCACTTCTTGATCAGATGATCCAACAAACTCTGCGGCAAAACAAATACCCACATTTCACAGATGCCTGCTGGCAAGTAGTTCAGAACCAAAAGACCTGTACTCTTCATAAATGTGGATATCATTAAATGGGCCAACCTAAAAGTTCATAATCATATACTACTTTAACAGTAAAAATGAGTCAACTAGCATTGTCAAAGGTTAATTTTTGCTAGGCTATAACTTCTGTGTACTGCATGTAGTAGCTGGTAGTTATGTAAGTTGTAACTGTCATGAGTGTACTTGCCTTGGTGTAAAATGTTATCAAACACAGTCTGTACATCATGCACCTGCACAGTGTAATTTAGCAAACCTAGCTTCTGGGTATACTTGTTTTACCTTCCTGAGCTGAATAACAGGTGTTACAGTAACTGCATTTGCCAATTGAATAGGCTGATTCAGTGGTGCCTGTAGCCAGATGCAGGGAAGGTCAGGAATAGCCTGGAGGCTACATTCTTGTGGCAAATACAGCTAGTTAGACTGCACAATTGGTGCATGGTGCATCTTTAATATATATATACACTGGAGTCTACGACATTCATCAACCTTGAACTCAAAAACAAAATCAAGGGTCTGCTTAATTCCTCCTAGAGGGCAGGAGTGCAGGTGGCATACATTTACTTTTAAATTACTGATTTGTACCATGTTGCAAACTACAGAGTGGAGACTGTATAATTGACCATGCATGAAATTGTTTAGCTACCACCTAACAAAGGTAACATAACACTGCTTGAGGCAGACACCTGTCGTTAGTTTTTGACACCTTTGAAGACAAATAGTGACACGCTTTTATAAAATACAATGATGTTTGGCATTGCAACCCAGTGACAAGGAGGTTATGTTTCCACTCCCTTAGCTTTTCTTGCATTGCTTACATTAACAAACACAGTTGTCCTTTTTGTGATAACATTGAGATTTGGAACATTTGGAGATACTGCTAATCAACTGCAATGTGTTATCTACATAGCCCAATCAGTGTGGGATTAGTGAAAATGCCAATTTGATGGGCCGTTAAATGAAGTTTCCTTGGCTCACAGTTTCACAATTAGAACATGCACAGGGTGGCATGCTGAGTAGGATGATAATAGAAACCAAAATTAATATATCGTTGTCATAAATCAACAAGCATGTAACGTTATGGATATTGAATCCATGCATCCACCAAGTTACATACGATGATACATGTCACCAGGTCAGGGACGTGAGAGTTCAAGGATGCTGATGGTTGAACAGAAATCAGACTCCACCGTGAAAATGCATAGAAAGGGACAGGAAGTGGGGAGGGCTGTGCCTCAATACCGCCATCATGCACCAACCTACACTATCCTGATTATCAACATTAATTGATAAACATCAACCCAAGGGACCTCTTCTCTTCAATCTTACCCGCACTTACCAGCTCAAGGGGCCGACACACATCTCTTACTCACAACAATCGGGATATTTACAATTCAGCTTAAGATTCCTTTAGGGTAGGAAAAAATGTCCGTTGTATTCAAGAAAGACGCGTGTTGTTCCTCTCGGGCCCCTAGTGAAAAATGTTGGGCCCAAAATAACACAAAGCTGGAGATCACTTGTGTGGGGTC